GTGCACTTGGTAAAGGTCCTAGCACTAGAACTCAAACACCAGTTTTCTTTTTTGTGGCAGCTTTACTTAAGTGGAAAAGAGAGTTGCTGGGACCCTTCGTTGGGCTACCTAGAGTCCATTGAAGGAATGCGGATTACAAATTAACTGGGTGTCCGGGAGATCCCGCTATTATCCGAAAGGCATAGGAACTACGATGATAACCACTTTCCGGATGACTGACTTCATACGTCGCGTCGCTGCCTCGAGGCTACAAAATCCACAGAGAACAAAAACTGAAAGAAATTGCGGGTCACGCTCACACAAAACTCCTTTACTTCACGAAAAATCAGAAACCAGGTAATCATGAAAGCTTATTTTTCATGCAGCATGCAGCATGAAAATGAGTGGAAAAGTGAACCGAGAGAACGATACGGCTGGTCACCTAGGGTACATTACGCCTAGTCCCCAGAACAACCCTGTAGTTAGGAAGATTGACCTGCAGCACACGTACCCAGCAAACGATACGAAATGATACGTAAATTTTCATCCATAGAAATGAAAATACCTCAAGTTCTTATATCGACGTAGACAGGAAACGTGTCCAGTGAAATAAAATGTGTACAGGCCGAAACCAGTTGGCTGTTTCTGTAGCTCGCTACCGTTCCTTCCTACGATTTTGCATCTACAAACAGGAAATAGCATACCATTCCGACTGCTTTCCCGTATTTTCTGTGCTAACGTCTGGTATCAGTTATCAGCCAGGCCATACTTGCTCCTGATACATTGCTAGACCCAGACTCACTGGATTTACACAAAACAAAATAGTAGTAAGTCGTTCAGCTGTAGCACCCTTTCGGTGCCTAGCTGCCATGCCACACGAAGGAGGCACGAGGGCTGGGATACTGTCAGGTTGCCCAAGCCTAGACAGGGGAAGTCGATTGGCAGAGGTCGGATTCGAACCACTGACCCTCCGGTCAGTAAATTCGCGCTCTAACCACTTGGGCCATCTCGCCCGCTGATAGTTCCTTGTGGGTCGTGCAACCAGAAATTGGAAAGCGGATAACCAGTTATGTGATTTCACGGATGCCAGTGTTGGACTCACTGTAAATTTGACAGACAGCTCAAACTCGGACAACGTAACTCCCCAATCTAATATCCTAGTGAGGGTATCAAGAACATCTGTGCTATCTGTCAGAAATCCAAGAGATAATCACATCTTGAAACCACTTATGCATCAATCCTAGAGGGAGAGAGAAACATTTAGCAATCCAATCTCTCACCTCTCGCAAAAACCAGCACTCTGCATCCCAAACTCAATAAATTGCAGGTATGAGCAACACTTGATACGCAAGTCGACTCTCAATCACGAAATACATACCACTCACCAGTAAATCCATCGGTCTAACCAGCACCGGCTAGATCCACGCTGAGGCACGGCGGGTATACAGCTAAGTAAACCCCCAACCTACCCACTCAATCAACAACTTGGAGCAGTTTAACATCATAAACAGCCCTGAATCTTCCATCACGAGCACTGACCGAAAATATGTGCAGAACTAGATAAAGCAAAAATTCAACGAGCCAAAGAACACAACCTTGACTGTATTGACCAACTTCAGTATCCCAGATCATTGGGGGCCTATTAGCTAACACTGTTCTTTTGCAGGTATTGTTTGCTGCAACCAAAATGCCATCCGGCTGCAGTGATATCGCATTCAAAACAAGTCCCAAGGACCCTGAGAAAACAAATTCCCTCTAAACGAGAAGTGTTGAACATCAAGAGACCATGTGGACCAACGGCAGAGGGAATACCCGGGTCCATGATGGTGATCAAACTCATCCCCCAGAATGATGGTAATATCACAAGTCATCATTAAGCTTGAATTCTATGTTGGTCGACATGCACCTCCTCCGAAGACCTCTGCATCTGTCTAACCTTCTTCAACCCAAGCTGACAATGCTTACCCAAATCAGTCCACCTATGGCCGATGGAATACTCAACCAAAGCATCGCCTCTAAATATCTCCTGCCACACGGTCCCGCATAGGGGTATAAGCTGAGAAATCCAAGTGCCCGAAATGCCCTAAATCCAACCAATGGACAAACGGAAGGTCCAAGAAATACGTCTGGCTCATCTACAAAATACCATCAAGCAGAGGTTGCTTTAGTGGGTGAATCAACTTCGGAAAAGCTTAAATGGAACTGTCATAGATGTACTAACAGTAAGCCCAGAACGATCCACACCAACATCTGCCAGGACTAAAACTACAAAACCAACATACCCCATGAGTCACCCCAAGGTAATAATTAATGCGTTCACTGTACCACATACAAATATGGCGAGTTTAAGGAACTGTTCACACTGCACATTCCCACCCATATAAAGCAGCCACGACGGAAACCTGAATACATAAAAGTAATTTCGGCTGAGAAGCTGAAATATCAGTTACGCATTTTCACCGAGCAGATGGAAAGGGGCAGGTGCGGCCGTCTATGAGGAACTCTCCCGCGATATATGAATAACTCACGCTTCATAGGCTGTGCTGGTTGGGTCATGTACTCCGCATGTCGGAAGATCGTTTGCCTCGCAGAGCTCTTTCCTCCCAACCCTGTGCTGAGTGGAAGCAACCGAGAGGTAGACAATGTAAGACCTGGCAACGACGTACGAAAAGATTAACCAGTAAACTAAGTCGGGTTGGCAATTGCGGCCTCCCTGGATGGGGACCCCAGGACGCAAATCACCAGCGGTTATTGACACTGGCGGAAATGGCCCGATCGCGCAGTCAGTGGCGCTCAAGCAACAAAGCTATCGCCTTCAATGCGTAGCTACCCAAGTTCCAAACAAACGGAGCATGCCTTCGCCTCCAAAGCTTGGTTTTCCGGTGACCTAAGATGCAGCAGCTGGAGCCAATGTGCCTATAGCACACGGTTTATAGCTGATTGATTGACGGATTGATTGCGGCCGTCTATATTGGTGATCACCTAGAAATGAGACCTAACATTTCTTTCAACAAAATCAACTACCGAGTAAGAAAATAGTTGCACACTCCATATACCCCGTTGCGTACACACCCCCTACCAGAACACTACTGAACTATGAATCAGTCCTACCGGAAACACTACAAAAACTTAAACCTTAAGAGCTTCAAGAGCCACTTAACCAATAGGTTCAGTGAGGCAAGAGACCGCTCCGACCCACACTCCACAGGGCCCGGCAAAGGGACGCAAATTATTATAATATGCATCACGGACCTCGAACAAAAACCTAGTCACCGTTAGATGCATATGTGGGTGGGGCAAAGCTATGACATCCATCTTACGTCTAGAAGACGTCAAGCTCACAAACCAACGTCGACACCCTAAGAAATGCGATTAACGCAAACAGTACGAAGTTTGACACCAGCAAATGTAAACTAATCCAAACTCGAAAACACTGGTAACTCTAACTTATGTGGTTTAGTAACCGACCGTTTCAACGGTGAGGAGGATATTGGCATGTAGTTTCGATGACCCTAATCCGCCAAACAATATCCAAAGGCTGAAAAAGCATCATTTTAAAGAGAGGGCTACCAGTAAGAAACTAAGGCAAGCTGGACTACAGAGCATCCATCAGGCGTATATTGCCTCTATATAGGCCGCTCTAGACTCTAGACCAAACCAGTATATTCGGAGAAAAGCCATGAAAAATAAGAGGCTTATACTTTGAGAGTTATAAACAACTATTGGAGCCGGTAAACCCCGAAGGCCTTGGATGTCGCGGATCGGTATATTAATTGATACTTACCGGAAAATTATCATGAAGCTGCGTGCATGATGAAACCACTTCGTTCAACGACCCCATCTGCTTTGGGGGACCAACCACCAAGAACACAAACACAAGGCGGTTGTCTGGAAAAAAAATCATTCCAAACACCCACAAGAGGACGCACCGATAGCCAAGCGCGCACGGGCGAGATGGCTATGGTTAGAGCGCGAATTCACTCACCGGATAGTCAGTGGTTCGAAACCGACCTCTGAGTCTCGACTTCCCCTGTCTAGGTTTGGGCAACCTGGCAGTATCCCGGCTTTCATGGTTACTTCTGGTTGCATGGCAGCTAGGCATCGAAGGGACGTTAAAGCTGAACAATTATATCATTTTATTACTTTTTCAAGCGCGAACTTCATGGGCGTTTTCGCCTGACAAGCCCGAAGTGCTGTTCAGTGTCGGAAACTTAGATGTCGACAGAATACGACTCGGTGAAACGGGGAGAAAGGTGGTTCTAAAAGTCTGAGTTATGTAGGTGCTGCTCCTTCCACGATGGAGCCACGTCATCCTCCTCGTGCTTGGTTAAAAACATTGAACAATATGGTAGCTAACCGATATCAGTGGCGTTCATAAGGCCAGTTTCTTTCCATATTGCCTGACTAAGTGTTGCAAGTGAAGGATAATTGTGATAGCTAAATCCTAGGTCTTCTTCCCTCCACTGTAAGGCTTTATTCAGGAACATTGAAACGGTATTACAACATTGGGACACTAATGTTTTTCTCTTAAAATGATCACCATCATCATTATCACAGCCAGGCTAACTTAGTGTGAGCTGACGTCCCGACCAAAGAAAGCTTCCTAGGGTTGCCTACATCTCATCACTTTCATACAAAAAACAATCGTTTAATCATCCTTTCGGATGACCACGTGTACTCAGAGGAAACCCGTGAAGAGCGCATAAGCCGGCTAGGCCTTGCCGTCTGTAGCAGCGCCGTTACTATCGAATCACGTTGAGTAGGGATTAGTAGCTGTTGAATTGAAATTCCATTCGGCAGAGAATGAAATGCGGGGAGATTTCCAAAGAAATCTCACTGTAAGAAAAAGTATTCGCTGCTAAAAGCGAAGCCCTACCTTGCAAGAATGAAAGGGTGAATGAAAACGGCAGAGGGCCAACATAACCAAAGCTCGAGTCGAATTGAGGCGCATAGAAGTCGATGACGCAGGATGAGGAAATGAACAAAAACAGTTTAAGTGCTATAGCGGCACCAGGACTTACTTTCACCGGCTGACCACCAGGACCAGTCACGTAATTGGCCTCCACGCCATGGTTCGTTTCGACGACATTGAACTCAACCTCCTCACCACTCCTTAAGGACGGAATGCGCCTTGCACACGAAGAGATGACCGAACGATGGACAAATAGATCGCCGCCATCGTCGTTACGACTAATAAACCCATAACGCCTTGCGACACTGTACCATTTCACATGACCCCTGACTTTCTCGGCTACAGAAGTAGGCATTGAATAAGACAGAGAGATTACCAAGAACTTTTAGAATTTCAATCTCTTTCTTTTGGGGCTTCAGGTCTTCCACGGTGTTATCCAGGACGGACGCCATCGGTAAGAACACTCTGAGACGCAGATAGCAAAAAGACGCGAACGCCAAAATGACAAGCACCGGAAGGCTATACTCTGATTGGTTCAACTCACGACCTAATGGGTCGACAAACAAGATCAAGGCTTTCGCCAAATCTTCCAAGGTCGGGTTCGAATTGCCGATTAGCGGGTTCCGTTCATTTCAATGTCACAAACGAAAAAACAATGTGGTACTCCTCCTTGGGTTCTAAGCGAGGTCAGTAAAATTGCCAAGGCGAAAACCCAAATGGAGGCCACCTAAAGCGTGCAACTTGGTTTTAGATGCAGCGTAACCAACCGCCCTGAAAAAATTTTCACCAAATAAGGGTTTGCGCTCTCGGGTTGAAAATCTAACCATGCCTCCGCCGTGCTTTAGTTAGGTGAACGCTCAAAAATCTGTTGGCCGACGGATGTTCAAATTGGCCGGAAGTGTCAGATTTCGTCGGAAGCGACCATACACCTGGGTAAAGGAATGAAGCACCGCGAGACGCGTTTCATAAGCAACGGATTCAGACGAGCGACCGTATTCGCAGTAGCCCGCTGGACACCCTCAACGATGCCTACGTTGGTCCTGCATGCGGACCGGACAACTTGGTTGGCGTAATCAAAAGCGGTCCGAAGTAGGCCCCATGGAGTGTCTGGATGTCGGTGAGGATAATACGAAGGAAGGTGTGTCGAATTGCCGTAGAGCGCTGAAGGCATTTTGCGCCAGATTTCAATTCTGGACTGACGAGTATATAGTTAAAGAGGGTCAGACACCTAAATCCTTCTCGGCAACTGTGCCCGTAATGTCTTCTGGTCCGTTCTCACCATGCACAGCAGAGGCGTTCGCCGCGTCTCCTCCGAATGACATGTGCGCGCGCTTCTCGTCGTTCAGAGGGAGGTGCCGGTCCAGCGGCCACTTCTTTGAGGCGTCGACATCTATTTGAGGGGCGCTGGCTTTGGGACTACAGGATACAAAGTCGTTCGCAAAAGGTAGGCACGGATTTGAAAGAACATCTGGAAGGTCGTTGACGTATACCAGAATCAGAAGTGGCTCCAAAACAAAGCCTTAGGGAAGTTCAGTGGAGCCCGAAGTTGAATAAGTGTGAGTTGACCGTAATTTTACCCGGAATGTTTCATCTGATAGAAAAGCCTTAGCCCACTGGAGAATTTCGCCTTGCATCCCTTAATATTCGAGCTTGCGAAGTATGTGGATGGGTAGGGCTTGATAGAATGTTTTTGACAAGTCGAAAAACACTGCACCCGATATGGATCAGTTCTCCTCAGCTTGGGTTGAGCTGTCCATAAATACGAGCATCTTCGCCAAGCACGAGCGGTTTTGGAGGAACCCGTGTCGTGTTTGGGACATCAAGTTGGTGGTGTTGTGGTGGGATAAGATGGCCCGCTTCAGCTTGCACTCCATCACATTGCACGGTTTCCTGTTGAGCCTGATGGGCCCGTAGCTATCGGATGTTGGACGGTCATCAGTGTTGTCGATTGGAGAGGCTATCACTTCGTCGATCGACTGAGGAATCAGCAGGCAGGCTAGCTTTGCCAATTTTAGCGAATCATCCTTGAGGATAGTATGTTTGACCTCGTCTGGCCATAAAGTACCAGGCGACTAATTCTTGTCCCCCACTGTGAGAACCAGATCCGTCAGACAAAGTTCGCACTGAGGTCTTGACCAGGGTGAATGTACAGATGTCGCTGAAGCAGAACACAGACTTGCTGGCATCCTCTGTAGCCTTCTGTCACCCGTGGATTATCCACTGTCCCTCAAGCCGAAAGCCGTTGGTTTATTTCTTCGGCGATATCGCACGTGTTTGTGTGACATCGGGGCGTCTTTTCGGGTGCTCCATTTGCAGATCTCTGATTTACAGCGGTTCCACATTCTATGAAATATCACCTCATCTTCTGGGCCCAGTATTTCTTTGTGAAGATTAGCTAAAAACTTGTTCCCAGACAACTTCAAATCATTTAGGTAGGCTTTAGTACACTCGACTGTGTGCTGTTCTTTTCGGGAGGAACACCGCGTAAGCCTGGTGAATTTTCCGAACAGTGGTCATGTATGTCTCCTCAAATCAAGCTGGTTTCAGTTTTCTTTGATCTATGAAGACACGAATTTCGAATAATTTCGCGTCTGAGATTCCGGGTACCTGGCCCAGTGGCAGATGGAATCAATGGTCAGAACATCAAGGTCACTGCATCCAGGTGGAGCCCCAGTAAACACTTGATGCATGAAGTGTCTTCTTTGAGGATAATCAAATTCAGCGAGGCAGATAGTTAGTCTTCGCTATGTCTAGTGAGTGTGATGACATGTTCAGTCGAAGCGCTCTACCGAGCGAATTTGGTCAGCATCAGTGCAGTGTCCACCAGGCCCAATCCACCAAAGTTCCACCCAGAAGAACCTGGAGGCGTCAAATCTACCTACCAGCGGAAGATGCGTGAAAAAGCAGCTAAAAGGACTGGTCGCCTTCCGGTAGAATTGAGGAACAGCGATATATATATATATATATGTCATTTGTAACTTGTCATTTCCAAGTCATAATAATAATTTGTTTCGACTATCGCGCCAGAAAGTACCAAGAATTCCGCTGGCCAATCAGCCATAAACTTTGATCCTGCGGTCATAGAACTCTGTATAAGGGCCCAACACATAGTTGTCAGCTAAGCCGAACTAAACTCAAGTAGGGGCAGCTGTGGACAATGCCGCAGGCTACTGACACACCCAAATTGAGTTCGCTGAAACTATAGGGTTTTCGAAGTTGCTATTTACTGGGAAGTTTGTCTAATCAATTAGCACCTTCTCGTGACATGTTGCACGTAGCATTTTGTTTAAGTGAGCGAAATTTCAAGGTCATTGACCATCGCCGATAAAACACGAAATCGCACTTTAGCATATTTTGGCGTTCTTCGGTGTTCCTGAAGAATAAAAATGACATATTAAGAGTATTTAATGCAACTGCCACCCTATAGGATCAGTCGCAGGCGTTTGTTTGCTTAAGACACCTCAGATTTTACAAAAGGGATATTTTCGTTTGGTGAACCTGCTCGCAACACATTTCCCCATGGGTCTCATGTTCCATTAAATGCAATAAAGTTTGATTACAGCACAAACTTGCATTGGCAATGAGAGGGACATCTGTGGATGATCCCCTTTCTCAGATATGCATAACTAGCTTTCAGATAATACAGCGTTACCAGAATGCTGTGGACGTCTTTCCTATTATAACTATGACGTTCTATAGGTGGTGATCACCAACCATGAAGCGGTCACCACGATGACGATAGCCGTTGTCACTCACCTCGACTACCTATTGTAGCTGCTGGATCCGTGTCTATGTGCGACGCTAATCAAGGTTCCCCACATATGTGCGGCAGCCCAATCCAATGAGCAACGACCGCCCCTTGTACTCGTATCTCTACTAGTTTTCACTCATCTCCAACACTTGTAACTGCTAGGCCCGCGTTTATGTGCTACGTTGATAATGAGACTGCACCTATGCACAGTAACATAATCCGATGGTCAATGACGGTCTTGTATACCGTTAACTATACGCGATCCCACTTGTCTTCGCTAGCTACAGTAAACATCAGTACAATTTATATGCCGACGGATAAAAATAAGGCCGATTAACCTAAAACTCAAAACTGTACACGATATCGCCCACCTTGACTATTTACTGAAACTGCTAGGCCAGTACCTATATGCGACGCTGTTTAGCAGGCCTCGGCTATGCGAAGTGTCCTGATTTAACTGCCAACGATGACCCGTCGTGCCCATAAATGTGCGCGCTCTCGCTTATGTCTGCTGCTTATATCATCATGGAGAGCACGAAATCAGGGGTAAACACCGATCTTCACTGCCGTCCCCGCCCTCTACCTACAGTAAACCTCAAGCCAGTATCTATGCGGGCCGATAGAAACCAGGTTCCAACTATGCGTGACATCTTAACAACCAACGGCTGCCGGTCATGCTCGTAACACCAACGGCTGCCCGTCATACTCGTAACTGCAGTTGATATCGCCTACCTTGGCTGCTTATCGAAATTGCAACACCTGAGTCTATGTGCAACGCTTAGTACAAAGCTGACGGTCTTTCATACTATATGCGATACCCCCTATCTTCGCTATCTACAGTAAACATCAATCCAAAATATATGCTGACCGGTAAAAACAAGGACTCAACTAGGGGTGATAGCCTAATCTGACAGCCTGTTATACTCACAACTGTACTAAAAGTCACTTAATTTAGCCATTTACCGTCATACTCATACTTACTCGATGCCGTTTATGTTTGCTACCTTAAGTAAAAATCACAACTGTAGCCGACGTAACCTACGGTGGCTACCTACAGTAACTGCCGGGCCCGCACACATGCTCGTAGCTAACCAAAACGCCCTGGCAACACATAATAGACCAACCCAACGATCAACGGTGGTCATCGCCTGTCATACTGCAATCACCACCCATTTTGATAGCGCGCTCCCAACTCCTACTCTTGATTGTACCCCCTCAACCACTCCCTCCAATACCCGAAACAATGAGGTGTCGCTCACCTCTGCTACTTAGCGTAACTGATATTCGCGACGAAGATTATGGGGCCTCACCTATGCACGGCAACGTAATACAATGGCCAAAGATGGCGCTCCATACTCATGACTCCACGCGTTGATAAAGCGCCCGCCATAAATTTACAAAAACCCCACTGGCGAATTGCATTTTATTCATTGGCATCACTGATACAAGCTTAATTGGCAGTCGCTCCATTTTTCATTTTCTCAAGATCCACTTCACGGGATGAGGATTCTGAAACGGAAAATGAGCAAGCAATTAACCTTTTGGAACAGCATTTAAGCATCTGGATGTAATTGAATTTTATTTGTTTGCTTACCTAGTGGTTC